AATTGGAAAAACTATGAAATACTTTTATTTAATGATGGACTTCTTCAATATTTAACATAATATCTCTTTTAATCAAATTTTAAGAATATAAGTAAAAATAACTTTTTCTTTTTAGTTTTAATTAGGCTCAAGCTTCTCTCGACAGAGAAATTTAATTTAAATTTTAGATAAAAGCGAATAATTAATTTCAAAATTAAAAATATTTCTAATCTTGCCTATAATATTGATAATTAATTAGGCAAGTAAATAATATTTAAATGATGTGATGCAAAAAATTTATTAAACAGTATCATCAGATAATCGTCTTAAAATCATGATTTATCAATACTTTATTTATCGATGATCACATGAAATTTAACTGGCAGCTCAGTTATTTTGGGTGTTTAACAGATGTAGAAAACGTCATTCCATCAGAGAAACGAATATTATTTTCAAGACTGACGACCGGAATAACTAGCGATTTATGATTAGTTTTTGTATTTCCGATAAATAGGGATAAATGATTTTTAATTTAAACGAAGAGGTTGAATTATGATTTACAATGATCGATAATCGAGTATTACAAATTTTGTCACTACAAAACTAACAAAAATTATTTTTCAGCCTGTCAGTTGGAACTTTTTTCCAATTTGTCCAATTTATATTTTTCAAACATAAAGAAGAATAATAACATGAATTATTGTTTATATCATAAGACATTACATTATATAGAATTAATATTTGGACATAAGGCGACACTTTCTTTGTCTGCCTCGAGTTACATTTCTTCTCGTATTCACGACAGTCCTTAAAATTAGTGTCATTATAAGTCACGTCACAAGTGGCATCTGGTTTACCATAATCTAACATACGATATCTTGAATGCTGACACGATAATTTCAAGGATGCGCTCGTGGCCGAGATACGCAGAATGGTTTTTAATACCGCAATACTTTAACATCACCGTATTTTTATTCTTTGAACGCATGCCAACCGCAATACTAACAACTGGAAGCGTGGACTTCCGTTCTTGTCTAGGGTAAGTTGCAAACAATTTGATTAGCGTGTGTCCAAGTTATGCTGCATGCCGAAAAGTGATGCACGTTTGACGACACGAGACATCTTTCCGTGAAATATCTAATATTAAGTCTGATAATTGTGTTCCTAGTCCATTCTCATTTCAAGATCGTCTTAAATAATAAGGCCGATAATTAGCGTCTTAAGGTATTGCTTAAGACGGTTTTGAAATAAGAACCGACTATGAACACCAATCTAAGATGCCAATACAGCTCTCCGATTGGTTTGTGACCATCTTAAGACCGTACACTGTTAGAAATGCTTCCTTTACATATAAATGAAACTTGTGATTATGAACGAAATAAAAGTAATGAATGATTTAACTGAAAATTAAGTTACAGTAGTTAGTTAAATGTAAGGAATGTGTATATTAAGTTTCATAAATTTTCATGAAAAATATATTAAATTTTAAGTACATGTATACAAATATATATATTCCAGTTATAAATACATTAAATTTAATGTAATGTCATGAAATTAAGTTCAAATTGTGTAATTTAAAAGTATTAAATTTCATGAAATTTTTAACAGTATACTTAAGATAGTCTTAAATATAAGAACGCATTACAAATACCATCCCGAATCCGTTTTTATTTTAAGACCATTTTAAGTAACGTCTTAAGATGCTAATACAGCCTCCTAATTGATGATGAAGAAGTCGTGTAAGAATAAGAATAAGAATTTCTTACACGAGTATATGAATAAAGAAATTTTTATTCACCAAGATGAATACTGCCCCATGACTGTGTAACTTTTTTATAAATTGTGTAACCTTGTTGTTACGAGGCAGACGCATTGTACTTGATGCCGTCAAACGAGACATCGCTTATTTGTCGTACCTTTTGACTGGAAAAAATAGCGATAACAAATCATATGTTGTTTGATAATGAAATGAAATAAGAAGGCGTCCATGCTGTTACATCATGATCATGATCGTGACTGGTGGGTTTTTTAAATGCCGTCCTTGAAACGTATCTAACGCATGGATGCAACTCGACGATCCGTTTCTTCGCGAAAAACTGTACCTCCCGTGAAAAGTATACACTGAATTTTTCATGAACTAATTATTCTTTGTTATTTTTGTTTGACGGATGTGCAAGTAACGTTTTTTTAATTTTACGATAAGCCGCGCTTATTGCGTGTGTCAAAACCATTTATTTGTTATGACTTTTGGGTTATATTCACTGATAAAGAGAGTCATTTGAAATTTTATTATAATTGTTTTAGATTATATAGTAAAATGATTGCTGAAATGCAGTTTCATGATATCAGGTTATCATCAATATATTATTATAATCTCATTTTATTTATTTGTGACACTAAATATAAAAACTGATATTTTTAATCGAATGCATGCACTGCACCAATAATACACTGCAGATGTATGGGCAATATGTGATATTAGCAAATAATTGCAGGTGGTTCCTTGCGGTCTTCGAAAAATCTGCAACGTAAGAGCACATAGAATTTTCTGATCCTTATATATTATTTTGATGTATTCTTGGCACCTGATTTAAATTCCCGAATTGATTGGAAGTAACACATCATCGATGATCTTTTACTTTCGTGCTTTACTATATGTTTAATAGTCGATCGAATTAATTACGCTGAGGAAAATGTCTGGTTGAATTAATTGGAATTCTGGTTGAAGATGGAAGAATCAAAATTTTCTGGTTAAATCTGCAAAATTCTAGTTGAGGTAATTGAAATTCTGATCGATATAATCAGTCTTCTGCTTCAGCCATTTTCAATCGGACATTTTTCTCATTGCATTGAATAACAAATTCATAGTTCCCATTAATATTCATTCAAAAAAAAGAACATTTTATTTTATTCACGCATCTAAATTATTCAAAGAGATAAGATATATCTATGCTTTTTTAGTTAGTTTATTCATTCATAATGATGTATTATACAACACAGATATACAGCAGAATTTACCACAAAATTTATTTTCAATTTTAAGTGAATAGAATAGGCTTTTTTTATTTTATATAATAAAGTAAAATTTAACAGACATCACTTTGATTGAAAATTTTTCAATTATTTTAATTAGGAAAATTCTTTTTTCTTTTGTCAAGTTTTACGATACGAGTAGAGAAATAAGTATTTTTATATTTTTCTCTCTTAAGATCGCTCATCATAGGTTGACATGATTGACATGATTAGTTTGTGTGCACTATTATTTTATTATCTCTATTATGTATTACAACTTTTTTTTATTCTTTATTATCTTATGTCATGCAAGTCCCGCGACACAAGAAAATATAATAATCTCAACATGTGTTTTTTTAAAACAATATTACTAGTAACATAACGCGCGAGTTATGTTTTTGTTTCTTATGTTTTATGAAATATAAATTATAACCATCCATCATATGTTTGACAGTTGCTATAAAAAAGGAAAAATGACATAGCGAAGTCAAAAGAATCTCGCGTCACTAAATCCTTTCTGCTTAATTTTATTTTTAAAATAGTGCAAACCGCATACGTTACATAATTCTGCATCGCAAATGTTATTCGCGAATGTCAGAGATATCGCGGAAAAACGCGTTAATTGTCGTCATGGTAGCTACTAGAAACGCTGTCGATTGCTTATCTATTGCTTCGCGCTACATTTTTTTTTATATATCCTCGTTAATAACGTAGATAACTACTAGGTAAAATGTGGCAGGAACACATTCCAAAAGTCGACCGTCGTCGTGACGTAAGTTCTTTCGGTGATTTGGATAAGATTCCACGAGAATGGATAATGAATGACTAAGGCAAATGCATTTCTCGCGTATGGAATCGATCTGTTAAAAAATACTTTTGCGCTTAACAATTCATTAACCTTTGCGATATTTATCATTTCGCGTGTCTTTAACGTAATAAAAATGTGTTACAACTTTTTTTTATTCCTTCGATTGTGTATCGTGATGGATCGTCTATAAAAATGTATCCATTCTAAGAAAAAAAATATTGTGTCAACTTCATTTATCTGTAACAGGAAATTTCGTTGATATAGTTTTATTAAATAGGAATTATTACTTCATTTCTATAATATAATAGAATGTATCTTGCTTTATCTTATCTTTTCTATTTTTATAATGTAGCTACATTATATTGTAGCAGTATATCGATTTATTTTATATAAAAATCGTATGAAAGTTGAGAGGAACAATTTTTTTTTGTACATTTTTTTTGTACACAACTGTCAAACATATGTGTTAACATTCATCAAGGTAAATTCCATCGTAAATTACATATTTTCATAAACAATGATGAACATTTTTAAACTATTCGTACTTAAGAGACGCAACGGCAGATATTCAACTTTGATCGTACCTGCAACACTGATATCGCAAACATTATGTAATTATGATAAATTTTTTGATAACAACGTTGGCAATATAGTGCGAATATATCTGACGCTACAAGGTATCGTAATAAGAAAAAGAATTTATATAAAGAATGATATCTTTTTATGAGGAAAAAGACAGAACTTTTAATAGCATTCACTAAAAACATTCAGATATTCTATATATCCCTCTATTAATTTTTATTGCGATATAAAAAATATATTGAATTACATAAAAAAAAGTATATTGAAGTAATAGAGGTAAATATATTAAAATATTATATATTAATTAAAATATTATATATATTGATGTAATCTAATGTATTAAGTACTTAATAATACTCTAAGATATGTATATAATTAATGGATTAATTTCCTTATCTGCGAAACCATATCTCTTTTAGTGAAAAATATTTTTCTACTATTTCATGATCTCATATTCACCCATTATTCTTTTGATGTCACGAGAACTATTTGTTCACATGTTTAACTATTATCTTATAACACGATTCACAAACACTTTGCACGCTTTTTACCTTTGAGCGTCAAGTGTGAGAAGCAAGACAATTTCGATCGCATCATTTATTTTTTTCAATATTTGCAGGTGATGAACCAAGAGGTCAAGAAGGAGACTCCACTGCAGTTCAAATTCCGTGCAAAATTCTATCCCGAAGACGTCGCCGAGGAATTGATACAAGATATCACGCTGCGACTTTTTTACCTTCAGGTAAAAAATTATTATTCACGCCTCATTTCATTTCGCGCCTCTCTCTCTCTCTCTCTCTCTCTCTCTCTCTCTCTCTCTTACTCTATCTATCTTACTTACGATTTTAATAACAATTTTTAATTTGCTGCTTTTATTTTTAAACTTATGATTGATGTCCAGAACAAATTGATCTAACATACAAACAATGCATATCTTATTTATTGATTGGATTAAGTCATGTATCGAACTATCGTTCGTTTATTTGATTTAATTCTTCCCGTCATCTACTATCTCATCCTCCGTGGCGGATACACGAACACAAGGAATGCGCATCAATTTTTTGCTCAGTTGAACCAAACAAATATATTGTGTATAATAGTGTTTAAGAACAACGATGCTTAGCGAAATATCACTTACAATTTGGAATAATATCTCGAATAAAAATAAAATCTGTATTTTTCTTATATTAGTTAATCAATATTTTATTAATTGCTTATAGGCTTATATAATAGATAGCGATCTTATTATTGAATTTTGTTACATGTATTAATCGGTATTGCTGTTAGATTAGAATTAATTAGAAAATTTTATGTAATCAATGATAATGTTTGAATTGATTGCAGGTGAAAAATGGTATTCTCACGGATGAAATATACTGCCCACCGGAAACTTCCGTTCTGTTGGCTTCGTATGCCGTTCAAGCGAGACATGGAGACTATCAGAAAGGAAATCATCCCGCTGGCTTTCTGTCAAATGATCGGCTGTTACCACAGCGTGTTGTGGATCAACATAAAATGAGCAAGGAGGAATGGGATAACTCCATTACAAACTGGTGGCAGGAACACCGTGGTATGTTGCGAGAGGACGCCATGATGGAGTATCTGAAAATTGCTCAGGTATCTGTTAAATAGCATGAATAGGATATGTAAATATATGGCGAAATATATGGCGAAAACTTCAGAAGGGATTGGATATTCTAATATACATCATCGATGTTTATACGGATTGCAAAATTATTTTAAATTATTTTATTTTCACATTATTTGGATTCTATATTAGAAATTCCTATTCGTCTTTAAGAAATTTTATTCATATGAAGTATTAAACTTGTACTACAATCCGTTTTCTGAAGGCTTGCGCATTTGTAAAGCAACGAGCGTTTATAATTATACTTTTTAATTACTCGCATAATATTGTATTTTAACTCGATGTTTATTTATGACATAGTATTTTTTAACCAGTCTTGCGAAGAACATTATGCGAACTCCATTGCTGCACTCGGAAACATTTTTATCATATGAAAAATTGTAAAATATTACTATTCTTGGACTGATATTACTGGTACTATTTTAGTATTTTCTTTCATTTTTGTTTTTCATAGGACTTAGAGATGTATGGTGTGAATTACTTTGAAATTCGCAACAAGAAAGGCACAGATCTTTGGTTGGGTGTGGATGCTTTAGGTTTGAACATCTACGAGAAAGATGATAAGCTCACGCCGAAAATCGGCTTCCCCTGGTCCGAGATACGGAATATCTCGTTCAACGATAAGAAATTTATAATCAAGCCAATCGACAAGAAGGCACCGGACTTTGTATTTTTCGCCAACAGAGTCAAGATTAACAAGAGAATTCTTGCGCTATGTATGGGTAATCATGAGCTTTACATGCGCAGACGTAAGCCAGACACGATCGACGTGCAGCAGATGAAGGTAGGAACATTACATTATATTACATTATTGAAATAATTAAAATTAATGAAATATAATTATTAATGCATATACTTATCTAAAGTTGATTATATAACTTTCTCATTAGCAATACGTATTTTACATCACTTTACATAACCATTGTAGCACATTAAAAATTTATTTAGGAATTAAAATAATTTAACAATTAAACGCTATCGCAATCTTGTGATTGTTAGGATCCACTTTAATTAATTATAAGAAATAAAAAATATATTTAGCTTCTGAAGTTGTAACGAGATTGTAATAAAATTTTTTCAGGCTCAAGCAAGAGACGAAAAGATGGCGAAACAGCAACAGAGAGAGAAATTGCAATTGGAGATAGCTGCCCGAGAGCGTGCGGAGAAGAAATAGGCGGAATGCTGAGTTGAACGAAGCTCAGGAAATGATTCGGCGCTTGGAGGAGCAGCTGAAGCAATTGCAGGCTGCTAAGGAAGAGCTAGAGAATCGTCAGAAGGTGAGAAAATCATCAGAAGATAATCTCTTTAATTAGTTTAAAAACTTTTTAAAGAGTTTAAAAAACTACCATTATAACTATCAATGAGCGGTTAATTTTTTTATTTTTATTCTTTTTATCCTTCATTTCTTACTTGAGCGAATGGTTAACATCAAGTTCTAGATTAACATCAATTACTATAAGTCAAGTTCAAATTACTATAAGTCGTCTTATAAGATATAATATTGATGTTTATTGTTCGTTCAAATAAGATATATAAGTTTATCAGAAACGCTGAGAGTGATTTGATTTTTCGATCATAATATAATTTTTTTGCGCTATTCTACGAATTTGTGAGCATACGATAGTGATAACCGTACAGAATTTATGATTCCTGAATATTAAGACAATTGCGGCTGCTGTCAAATTGGAATTAAAAAATTGTTCTCGGTTAATTCGATGTTTTCTACGATTTTATAGATAAAAAATTTGAGGACTATTGAGGGCTCCTATAATGTAGTCGTAAATTTAATTGCAGATTTATAAGTAGCATACAAAAATTGTGACCGTTATAATATTACATATAATAAATACATAAATATATTACATATAACGTTTATGTTTATTATATGTTTACATATAATATTACATACAATATTATTAAATTTATAATATTATTAGGCGACAGTTTTATATAAAAATTGTCTTTCACTAAGAATCAATGTAGGTTTTAATGCTCTTTTCTTTAATTATTTAATTTATTTTATAAGCCGTTATTTGAACTGTTTTTTGAACCGTTATTTGAACAATTTGTATTGTGTGTGACATAGGAATTGACAGCAATGATGGAGAAATTGGAACTCTCGCACGAAATGGAGGCTGCGGAGCGCGCTAAACTCGAACAAGAAATAAGAGCCAAGCAAGAGGAAGTACAACGCATACAATCTGAGGTGGAGGCTAAGGATGCAGAAGCTAGAAGATTACAGGCTGAGTTTGAAGCTGCCAAGTACGACCAGTTTTCTTCTTTTTCTCATCCTTTGTTTCTTAATTAACATAATTGGGGATAATTGCATATTTATCATTTATTATGCAAGATTAAGACAAGAAGAAGCTGACCGACAATATCAGGCTAATCAGACTCCGCATCATCATCACGTCGAGGAGAACGAAGAGGGTGAGGAGGAGGGTGAGGACGAAATTCCTCAAGGAGACGTTACTAAGGACCTCGCGACTGACGAATCAATAATCGATCCTGTCGGGGAGCGACGCACTTTAGCGGAGAGAAGTGAACGTCTTAACGACCAATTGAAGGTACGTTGATATGCAACGTTAATATATTTTATTCAGATTTTATTTCTTATTTTAAATAACTTTGTAATTTTACGTAGTTAAAATTTTTTTTAACTGCTTTTATTCTTTAAAATATGGAAATACGTTTTTAAAATGATGCAAACTTTGTAAAAAATTCTACTGTATACACTGTTACAATGAAATGCTTTTATTGACAGGCATTAAAGCAGGATCTCGCTCAGTCACGTGACGAGTCCAAGGAGACGGTGATGGACAAGATCCACAGGGAAAATGTGCGTCAAGGCCGCGACAAATACAAGACGCTTCGCGAAATTCGCAAGGGCAACACCAAACGCCGCGTTGATCAATTCGAGAACATGTAAATTAATGAGCGTGCATCTAATCATTTACCTTATACATGTCCTTTTCTACTTTCAATTTCTCACCTGACTTTTGCGAAGAATGCAGTAAAATGAAAATGAGAAGGAGAGGAAAAAAGAAAGCGATTAATAAGATAGAGAGAGAAATAGAGAGAGGTATAGATTCTACAATAAATGTATAAATAGAATAATTTGAATAGCAGACACATTATTAATCAATTACACTTCAACTTTTCTCAAAAATTGCGTGAATGACAACCGTAACTATCGTATATCGAGAATTATAATCAATATTTACGCCTACGTTAGCTTGATGACAATTCTATACCTTCACGCAAACTGATAATCAAAGATTTTACCTTTTTGGTAAGGAACGCGACGACAGTGAGCGACTCGCGCGCCGTCTTCCACATATACTTCCACGTTAATTAATGCTGCATGATTGGCTTTATCGCGGAATCGTCACCCGTCTCAAGAGCGCGAGTAAATTTTCTCGCTACTTCGCGCAAAAGTGCCTTGCTTGTGAAGCTAGTAATTCTTGTAACTATCTCTTAATAGCAAAAATCAATATTATTCTAATAATTTAGCGTCATGATATTCTTGTTTCGATAAAGGCACTTTGCGTCCAAGTGACAAGAAAATTTCCGGTAGTGAATTCGTTACCGTTACTTAAACTTTTCTTGGCACATCGATAAACCAACATCTCGACTATCGAGGTGCTAGTATTGTCTCGCCTCATCATAAGTATTACTGCCGGTCATTTATTCGTGTTGCGAAACGCGATACTTAACTGCTAGTTATCTATCGGTGCTGTCCTGCCCGTCGCAGTTTTTATCGCGCCGTCATGCGATATCGTCCGTCCTCGGTAATAAGGATTTATTTTCGAGAAGCCATCAATGCCACTATCACCATTTGCACCTCAGCTGATGCATCGCGACGGCAATTGCGATCGTTACCTGTTTACGAACGGTTTTCTTCTATTGTACGCTTAATTCGGGCCACATTTAAACAGAAAGCTGTACGTTACTCTTGACATTTATTAATTGGCCGGCGATTTGTAATTACATCGAATATCGATCAGAGAAGAATCGAAATAGGACACATGGCTTATATCATAGCGAGTTAGATGAAAATTTAGGCATAATCCACCTTAAAGTTCGTATTGGGCAACGACCGTTCCAAGCAAGGAGACATTTCATGACATCCGGTTTTATTTTTTGTTTTTAAAGATTAGTTTAGGTTTTCCTTAAATATATTCTTAAACAATATTATTTATCAAATAAATAATTAATTTTATGTATATATGTACGTATACATATATGTACGTATGTTTAGAGAAAAATCATATGCGAACACATATGAATCTTTATGTATATTGTGTTTCCAAAATTCCAATATTTTCTGTTTTGAGATGAATATTTTATTCATTCCGTTTATAAATCGCATGTCACAATTGTCCCCTTGTACATTACACATAGATCACTATTGCGGCGCTATCAGTCATTCCGGATTAATAAAGCGATTCAACGATGGCATGGCCTATTTACTATCGATAAAACCGAACTATTTTCGTACGAACGAGTTTCGATAACACATTAGCGATTTTATATTGAACACACTCGTGGCCTTTACTTGATATACATATAAATATATATAAAAATATATATATATATATATATCTCGAAGTACTATAGATAGTACTAAATATAACGACTAGCTGAAAGAAAGAGATGTAAAGATATCGCGCCATAGAAAATTTGTTCTGCATACCTTCAATACAAGATCGAACCGCGCGGTACCCGCTTTAGCTACCAAGATTTTCGAAAGAATGAGGGAACGAGTGCAAGAGAGGGAGAGAATGTGATAAGGGAGATAATTAACCGTGTGTGTGCGAGAAAGAGAGATGCCGAGTGATAGAGAAAACACATTTATGGTGGTCATATGCCATTATAATTTTTAAAAAAATCTTTTGCCTTTAAGAGAATGTTTTGTGCGCAACGGGACTAAAACTAATGAAAACTCGAACCACGCTGCCAATTTTTCACATGACGGAATGCAAAACGAACAACGATAGCAAGTGTGATACGGACAAAACGTGTGTGAGTTTCACGTAGGAGAGAAGATCGCGAAATGTAAACAGTCGCACCGTATCACAGAAAAATATACTTTGCTACATAATTATCATACGCCGCGCGTTACAACAATATGCGAAGCAGAAAGGAGAAAAAAAATACAGAAGTAATAACGCGATAGATATTTTTTGATTATATTTAATATTAAAAATTTATATACAAATTAGTAGTGTTATATTATTAATATTAATGTTTACAATCTAGTAGCGGTATTATTATTTTATTATTATGCAGATAATATTGAACGAAACCTAAAGGAAAGCATTTTATAATCGTCAATTTATATTCTTAAGATAATCTAGTACGTAAATTTGGTCGTAATTTACGATAAAAGAACAAGTTCAACCTTTTTATTCAAATTATTTTTAATTACTTTCTGAATTCAAACAATAAAATAACCAAATTTTTTTACTAGCAAATATAATTTGAGAAAAGTTCCAATTTTTTTTAAATTTTCAATTTTTGAGTATATAGACTTGCAACCAGATATATGTGTAAACAAGATGGAAAAAAAACAAGATTATTACTAATTAAAGAGATCGCACGATAACATTTCGATAATCGATAAAATAGAGGACAAGCTTGAAAGCTCGTCTCGATAATCTTTGGCGAAATCTTTGATGAATTTTTATTGAGACATTCCAGAAGAATTCCTCGTAAAGTGCTTCCCGCCCTTCGACTTTGTTTCGCCGATTAATAGGATTAGATTCATTAGATATTTGATTCGAACTGTCGATTTGAAGATCGCGCCTTGATCTTCCTTTCTTCGCAAAATTTCGCGTTTTTATTTGTCTCCTGGAACGTGCTTAACTCTAGGATACGATTTAATTTCTGCCACATTTGCAAAATGTAGATGATATAAATTCAAATATAGGTGAAAAACGAACTCGTTCGTTTGTTTCATGACGTTTATCACTTCAACTATTTTAAATAAATTGTATGTGTACGACTAAAACTGTGGGTTTGTCTAATTAAATTAATATTTATACTCTCGTATTCATAGTCAAATTTTATATTTAAGACTTCCTTAAATCTTTTAGATGCTCTACGAATTATTTTATTGGCTACTGAGCATCTAAAGATAAATTTAAGGAACCCTTAAATATAAGATCCGACTATGAATACAGACCTTAGATCTTTAAGGATGGACAGATCTGAGATCTCAGCAATCTATTTAAGAAATTTCAACGGAAACATCGTACATTGCGTTCAAAGTCATTTTTCTCGAAGGATCCTCGAAGTGCCTCCTAGAGTTAAATAACGTTATCCAGTTCTTCGTACTTCGCCGCAAACACGAAAGTAGGTCTTAAAGTAGCAAAATCTACCAAAATGTACCGCATGTCCCTCGTGAAAGTACACACGCACGTACATACATAAACATGGTGCTATATCATTTTCTCCTTCCTGAAACATCGAAATGTGTATATTTGGCGCCAGGCATGCATTTCGTTTCTTTTTTTTTCGTCTTCCTTTCCAAGCTGAGACGCAAAGCTCGGCGGTATTGTAATAATAGAATTCGAACGTCCTTTTTCCGTTTCTGCAACCATTAGGGGATCCTCGTAGCAATATTATCGAGCTATTAAATTAATCAGCGAAGACACGAGACACAAACACAAGATGCAGAGACGCATAGACATTGTATTTTAATGGAAACAATATTATTTGTTGGTGCGAGGATATAATGAAAACTACTTGTACTTTTCTGAGAAAGCTAGAGATTGTTTAAATAAAAAAATTCATATAAAAAAAAAGCTACTAATCCTGCTAATTGAAATAGTTCATCGATTATTCCACATCCCACAAAAAAAACATAAGATAATCCAGATTTCTAAATATTTTTCAAAATCGGAGAATAAGACGAAAATGCCAGCATCTCATTTAATTAATTTTATTTTATCAATATACAGGGTACAAAATAAACCATTCGATATTTATATAATAGATAGAATATATAGCATTTCCAGTAAAAAAAACCACAATGAACGTAGAAAACTTAACCGTTTCTGAGATACAAACAATTTTATATTAATATCAATTCCTACGTGTTTGATCTTATTTGAAAAATCCCGCTTCTGCGATTATCGATATATCGATACTCGCTGGCGGCGCGCCGCGCCTGCGTTCTCCGATTTCATAGAACGAAAGGTGATGTCGTGACGATCGGCGATGAGTAGTGACGACGTGCGCGTTTTTGTTACGTTAGTGGTGAAGTAGTGACGAACGACGATGATGCGTCGAGATCTTAGATCGAGCCGTGCCGCAAGAGTTCCTGGCAGCGAATTCACCGACGACGAGGATGTCGATCACGCCAGGTGGGTTCCCGGCGATCGGTGTCCAGCCAGCGACACGTGGCTTTACGTGACTCGTCACGATCAAACGCGGACTCCGGATTGACAGAGCGACCGGCAGATCCGTCGCTTTCGGTGATGGGCCCTTTGTTTACATACCGCACGACAACTAATATCGGATTAGATTTCAGCTACTTGGCCAGTGCGCTTGATAGGAATTTACCGTTGATCATGCCGTCGTTGCTGGTCGCGCGAATCAGTCGCGCGAACAGTTCCCGTTATTCATTCCGTCAGTGTGATAATCCGGCGACAAGACATCGACGACAACGACGGAGATTCCCGATTGCGAATTCCTGGCGATTTATCACGCGAGACATGTCGCTTCTCTTTTGCTCATCGGTGTACAGAGAGATATCTTTGTCTTAATTTCTTTTGAAAGAATGTCAAGAGACGAAGATTTAAAAAAGTTTCTGTATTCACGGTTGTTTTTGTAGTACATAATAAATACTCAGGAAAGAAACATTAATTGTTCACAGCAATATTATTTTATACAAAATTTTTTATGCAGTAGAAAAAATTCTGATTATTCTTTTAGATATTAAATGTTATAATAATTATTAGTTTTGCCGGTATTTTACTTTGCAATTTTAATTAATCAATTTATCACTATCTTCTATCAAATAGCAATTTCTATCAAAGGTCGAATCAAGTTTGGAAACAGGTTTTGTAAAAATAGGTTTATTATAAATTTTGTCGATGTTTTGTATATTAAATCAGTAGAATGATGTCAATCTGTCTTATTCTGCTAAAATTTGCTGGTGTATTTTTAACATTTTGCTTTGAGATTTACCCAAATAAATAATTCTGTCAAAAACAGATTTTTCAAAATGGACTAATTAGCAGCAAATTTAAAAATATAATGGAATGTATTAACGGAACGTGACGACAGATTGTTTTTTTATAATCATTTCTATAATATATTTTGTTTTTAATAATTAGGAGATGAATCTAAATCCACCTTTTTCTGATTAAATTACAACTAATTGAAAATATCATTGAGAAAAAAGATTTAAAGCGTAAAACTGTAATTGATAAATGAATTATCTAATCCTTTACATCTGACAGCTAGACAGCAAGACTTTCCTTTTATATATCGAAAAAGACGCAAATTATTCAACAGGATAAAAAATGTATTCTTTGTAATATAGGAGCGATGAAAATAATGAACAAAATACCTATAGATTTAAATGTAAAAAATGTAATGTCGGTCTTTGTGTAAGTGAGTACTGTTTATCACACAAAAATAAACTTTTAGTACATTGTTATTTACTAAAATCATTATTTCGAATAAACATTTTTTTTTAATGCCCCTTGTCCCGAAAGAATTAATGTCAACCCACTGTAATATTCTACTAAATCTATTGGCAAATTACTAAAACTATACTCAAATTCTCATCCTGATATTATCTTTGCTATTCACTGAATGTTAAACAAAGATAACATAATATTTAAGGAGCACTCGGGGTAAATCTAAATATGCCTTAACATACTGCTAACATTTTGTTTAATATAAGTTGCTATTCATTTAATAAATTTTCTTCAAAAGAGTTGTGCGTAAGTTTGCGTGAGAGAATCTGCGAGTGCAACTTTCATGATAACCAATTTATAAGAAGTAAGATGATCAATTTATAAGAAGTAAGAGAAGTCAAGAATAAAAAGATTTTTGCGCTCCAACTACCGCACTTGACTCTTGTATGCCTATTCCATTTTGTAATTAATTTCATGATAACGTTTTTATTTCTGAAGTAACATCCCGTCTCTATAAAATTTCCCGACAATCGGCGATAAAGCTTCCGGCGGAAATTTACATTTGATTAAATATCTTATTTACAGTAAAAATGATTCAATCAGTCCGCCAAACGAGTTCGAAGACTCGTTGCAAGCGATGTCGGATATGTATGGACACACGCCGCCTAGGACTCGTCTCAATCGTAAGAAAAGGCACATGAAGCATAAGCTTGCGTCAGGCAGGTGCGTGCAACAGAGTTGCAAATTAAATCCGCGAAGAATCGCTGGGAGTACATAATTATTACTAGATACGTTTCATTTGCGATGCGTTATTTTGCGATGAAACACAAATGAATTTAGCGAATAATTTTAAAACATAAAGCCCACTTCTTTTCGCTTTATATGCATTTTATTTTAAGATATAAATCTATATAGCACAAATCTCCAAGGGACGTCCTGAAAACGTCCAGAAGACGTCCTAAGGATAAAGAGTGTTACACGATGAATGGTTTTGAAAATTGGAAATTACATAAAAAAACATTTTCAATGTACAGAGAAATTGCTTTTATGCTTCGTAGAATTTTCAAATATAAATTAACTCAGTCGCTAATTTGATTATCACACGAGTGACTATAAAATATGCAAATTATCTTTAGTCTTTGTCATTTGCAGCGATCTTAAGTCAGAAAAAGAAGCTAGACCAAGGACAGCTATCCATCGACGCAACACTTTGGACACTATCATCTTTAACGAAATGTGCGATAAAGCGGACAAAGATTATGAGGATGAGACGAAGGAAGATGTGAAAGAGGGCAGGAAAAGCAAGAGAAGTTTGAAACTATTGCGGGGCAATGAAAGGGACCTGAAGCTTGACGTGGAAGCTGCCCACAATTATGCCGAGAGATATACCGGCGAGATAGCAGTTTCGACGCCAAATCAAATCAAGGTTCAAAAAAAGCAGAGAAGTGATTTTGAGTATTGGCTATGTTTGGAAAAAAACAATCGTGCCTATGATTAATGTACATTTCTGATGAATATCCTTTTTCCCGATCCATCAAATGTTATTGCTTTCCAAACGCAGTCGTTCTTATCTTTTTGCAAACATATTTGGCACTTGGTCAATAAATATGCTCTTTCTCGCAGGTCGAGACTAGAAATAGATTCCGCTGCCTGCGATCTAAACCCGTTGACGTCGAGGAAAAGAAGGTGGAGCGTGAAGACAGCGAGCAAAGTGTGTTGATAAATGAAGAATGTTTACGCGCACAGTCGCCGAGAACACAGAGCTTCAGAGAGAGAGAAATCTTTCACGATACATTCTCTTTTTTGATAAAATTGGTAAATATTTTATTGCAAAATAAACTTGAACTAAATCAAACTGCACTTTATTATCAATACAGTATATTATATTTTTTATATTTTTATTTTCAATTACTAACAAAATTATCTTTTTTTTTTAATTGCGTAGGGAAGCACAGAACGGAATTGTCGTCGCCAAATGAGTCACGAGGAGACTCGATGGCAGAACGAATTAAAGGACTTGATATGGCTGGAATTGCAAGCACATCACGCTGACCGTAGTCTGATAGCACAGGATGAATATCTTTGTCGCCAACGAGAGGCAGTGGAGGGTTTACTTTCAGAAATAATGGAGTATAAGTAAGCGGGAATGTACTTGAAGGAAAATCTTCAAGGAAAAATTTGCGATATAATTTTAAATACAAAATAATAATTTTAAATACAAAAAGAAGAATGGTAGCACTTACATATTGATAGCACTAAGAGAACGCAATTATTGCATTATAGATACGATCCCATCGCAGAAAGAGAAGACGCGCAAGAGGGAAGCTTAAGTTGCGTCAGCCCCGGTGATATTGCGAGCGATCGATCCACGAATTCCGGTTCAAGCTCAAATATTGAGCTGGGCGTATGCCTGGGTTGTCTCTCCATGTACTGCCGTGCGTGCGCCCGTGCACAGGGAGAAGCATTGCAGCAAGTGGAAGCTCTACTGGCTCGCTTGGAAGTCGCGGAGGCTCTGTATCCATCCTCTCATGTATTCGCCGTTAATTATCCGTTATACAAAAGCCCGGAGTTCACCGACAGGGTGAAAGCTATGTGCCTCTGGTACAACATGACGAAACACCATCGATTCAAATTGCAGATACTAGGTAGATTACTCATGATGCTACACAGCAAGAAGAAACAGGATGACTTTAACGATTCCGGCATCAGGTACGTTGATTTGAATCGCGTTGACTCTTGACAATAGTATGGAAATTGTACTATTTGAAATGGAATTTTATTCTGTTTGCAATATGTTTGAAAAATAAGATGCTTTGGAATTTTTTTATGATGTAACTTGAGGTATAAAAACTTGGATAATCGATTGTCCCTATCTTTAGTTCGCGATCTTCAGATACTGTCGATTCTGCGGAGCGACAATCCATGGTGCGATTTGAACTACCTCAACAGGATGAAACTTCCAGTCCCTCCGACAGCAATAACAGCAATAATTCTTCGATCGGAGGTCTATCATTTATATCGCAATCACTGCCACCTACTCCGGAAACCTCGTTCTCGTATTTTGAGGATGAAAGAGTCGATCGTCTCGATTTCTATTTGGTTGAATTTGATCGACACGCCTACAGGTACGAGAAATATATACTTAATATATCAAAATCTATTTTTAATTTTTAATTATTATTAAATTTAGTATTTATATTTACATTATAAAATTTACTAGAAATTTCTTTTCTATCCTTATTTTACTTCCAAGTAATTAAATGAAATTTTAAACTTTTATTAGAGCGCGCGCTATATTAGAATGTAAATATTGGGTCATCTAAAAAGTATCCGCGGTTTTTTGTCACTAGATGTGTGTTGATGGTCATATAT